AATGTACAAGACTCGAAGAGTTTTCATTTGACTGAAAAGTTGATGTTGACTTGCTGTGGTTGTTCTGTCGCTTCTTGTTTACGTTGCGGTAGGGTTTTTGCCTAATATGTAGAGCAATACGTATATCGATTTAGAGTGCCAATATCATATCGTATTCAGGGTTCAACAACTCATCGCCTGCACCTGTAATTAATCACATTTGCATGCCCATTGGGTTTCGCTCATTATGCACACAGGAACACGCCAGGATGCCTGTCACCGCACCGAACAATAGTCCTTTTTCATGTGGATTTTACTCTGACAGCTTTGCTGAAATCCGATGCCGCACAGATGCGTGCCCCACACTTTTGCGGGTGGCTGTGCTCCATATGGCTCATTGCCTGATTTGATTGATCCAACTGGTGACACCTCTCCGGGGGATTAGCTTAGGGGTGAAATCGAAAAGGAGGAGGATCTGGTGCTGCTCCATTTTGCCCAGCTGTGTCGCGCATTTGTCTAAAATGTCAAATATAAATATTTGTTTGGTTCATGTTTGTATTTGTATTTGTATTTGTATTTCGTTTTCGGGTTTCTAATAAACATTGCGAGTAGAAATTGCGACGATAAATCGAGGTGCTGGGGGCGTGTCACGTTTCGTGTATTTGCATTGAGACAACAGGACGAACACACACCAACACACTAGCACTACTTTTGTACTGTCTGTTTGTAGATGCTGATCCTGTTGCTGATGTTTGCACTTTGGCCCCGAATTGTTTTCGGTTTCCATTAATTACATTGTCAATAGATTTGTATGTGTCCTTCTTTGTCTAGTTAATGAACTGAATGTACTTGTAGGGGGCTGGCCATCGATTGGGGTCTTGAGTTTGATAGGCCCACTCGTATCACAAAGGCCAAAACAATAGTCTTTTGCGGTTAAAGTTTACGCTCAATAACTTCTGCTTCTTGAGAATTTATATGGATTATGTTTGTTTAATTAATGAGCTCAGTTCGGTTGTGTGTCGCAAAGGGAATTTACATACACTATTGACCTTTTTCAACAGGCAGTTTATTACAATCACAAAGGTCCTAGTCGGTCGTTCAACAATGCTAAACATTTATTTTTGGAAGTCCACAATTTACTAATCCCCAAAGATTAACCCTTTTTGTGCAGTGCCAATTATTGATTTTCATAACAAATGCATAAATAACTGCTTTCGGCTTTGCCGCAGTCATAAAACGTGAAAAACCGCTTACAGCCAACCGTGCGTATACGTAATACCCTCATAAATGCAATCCCGCTACTCCCGGCAGGAAATAAACATGGCGCGGCGCTCACTCCTACAAATCCTTCAAAAAGCCAACTTAAGCTGACACAAACACACTTGCACATGCACACATAAACACACTCACATCCAAGGGGAAAGAGACAGGACATACATTAACGTATCAATGGCTTATTGGAAGAACAGGCAACTCGACTACACATATCCCCATATAAATAACTCTCCCCCACAAATGTCTCCCGGTCGTTTTTTTTCTGGTTTGAGTACCTGTTCAAATTGAAATCCAATGCCAGAACATCGGCAGGCTCAGCGAATTCCCCCCTTACTGTTTCGTCCTTTTTGTGATTCAGGAGCAGTCAACCTGCGTAATTAATGAATAATACTACCAGAAAAAATGAGCTTATAACAACATTTAGAGATAACTAATTTGGAAAAATAATATAAATTACAAAGGGTAATTAAAATATATGAAATTTTTAAAAACATCAAAAAATTTAATGTTCACAACATTTCCTAACAAGCTTCAACTTATAAAAAATTTTAATTTCTAAAAAAGCTTAAAATATCCTAAACCAAGCATGCACTTACCCGACGCTGTGTAACCCTACAAGAGTCCATTCCAAACCAAACTGACCACAGTAACCAGTGAAAATGAAGCTGTGCCTAACGAACAGGAACATACAAATTGTGAATATGCCCCACTGGCTGGCCATTGAGGCCAACAAAATGGATTTCGGGGACATTAAAAATCTGCTTCGGCTGCCAAAATGTAAAAACATAATAGCGAATCAATAAAGCCCCAGCCATGTCGGGTTGGGTAGCTCGGTTTATGGGTCAATGTGTCGGCAAAAGTGGTCAGGCGCCGAGTGTTGGTGGTTAGGTGGCAGCGGATTTTCCGTTTGCCAGAGATACGAAATGTTTATTTGGCTGCAGGTGTAGCTATTTGTATTTTGAATGTATTTTAATTTTTTCAATAATTTTGGCAATAATCTAATCAACACTTAGAGAGTATAAAAAGACTTATTTAAATTAAGATATGCAATACCATCTAAAATGGCATTACCATCTATTTATGGCATTATTAGGGGAGTGTAGGGTAATTTGACGAGTAGGGTAATGTGACGAACTCGTCGAATCTCATATATGACGTCACGACAAAAATTCCAAATAAATTTAGTCGTCTCCCCTTATCGTGTCGACAATGTATTTACAGTAATATTAATAAGAAGTCCCGTAATTTGTTCGTGAGGTAATTTTCGCTAAAAATGTGGTGCGCAAACTAGCAAACCTATTCAATTTACTTGTGTTTCAGCAGTGCCAGAGCAAAGATGAGTGGAAAATAAAATCAGGCAAATATATGCACGTATACATGAGATGTTTATCAACAGTTTTTGGTACCTCGCGTTATTTTCTTTTGCGCCGTTTGAGAGTGACACCGTTTTTGCTCCAAGTCTACCTTGTAGGGTATCGTGACGAACTTTTTGTAGGGTATTGTGACGAACTTTTTTTATTAAAGAATTTTAATTGTTATCGTTGATTATTTGTAAAAAAAATATAATAGTACCAGATAACATTTACTGCTGCAGTTTTATTGTTGTTTTTAATAGTGAGATCAGTTTAATTTAAATAAACAAAAAAAAATGTTTAATTTAAAAAATTGCACTTTGACCATTTTTTTTTTTTGTAAGTTTCGGTATTACCTTATTACTTCTTTCTTTTCCGTATAGAAAATAACTTTTCCGTAAATTATATATAAAAAAATTTTTTTTTTTGTGAAAAGGATGATTTACACCAAACGCTGTGGGATTTGGCTACGTTGAAATTTGGAATACAAATTTTTCAGAAATATGCTCAGTAAATGTAAGTAACTTTCTGCTTTTACACTTTTAAAAAATATTGATTTTTGGAGAAGTTACATTAAAGAACAAATCGTTCGTCACATTACCCTACAACTTTTGAAAGTGCAAAAAAGAAGGGTTCACGCGAAACGCTGTGGGATTTTGCTGCATTGGAATTTCGAATCCGAATTTTACAGGGATATGCTCAGAAGATGTAAGCAACTTTCTGCGTTTACACTTTTGAAAAATATTGATTTTTAGAAAAGTTACATTCAAAAAACGAATCGTTCGTCACCTTACCCTACACTCCCCTACCTATTTACTCGATTGCACAGTAGCCCAAGACCATTAGGTTAATACGGTACAAAATGGAATTCAAATTAATTATCATCATCCTAGCTTTTGTAGCCTGCTGCAATATAACCATCGCCTAAAGGTATAAATCTAAAAAACTTATAGTTAGATTAATATCTCGAATCTGATAGCATACTTTTAGAGAAGTGCGATGCTCCTCCTAGCGAGGCAGGGGATCATTTCCCATGTGGATCTTTAAGGGAAACAGATGTCGGCTCATAACATACGGGGGATGTAGGGCCACTGTAAATATGTTTCTTCAAAAGTCTTTATGCGAAGCAGCTTGCTTAAAGTAAACCATATGTTTTTTAACCAGACCCTGACCCCCCTTAAAAATTCTAATTCGAATTAAGAAGGATCAAGATGGTGTTGGACAAGTATAACTTTTGTAAGCAACAAAATAGACGCATACCTCTTTAAATACCATCACAATTTGTTTAGTTACACTTTAATTTGAATATTAGTTTCCCTAATCGAGGCTTGCGGTTTTCAATAAAATCAAAGCCGTCAAAAAAAGAAACACAGTAGCGCAAAACCATCAGGTTAAAACAGTGCAACATGGACTTCAAATTAAATGTCATTTTCCTTGTTATTGTGGTCTTGAGCTCTATAACCTTGGCCTACGGTAAAATCGACAACAATTATAGGTATCTTGTCAACAGAAAAAGTAAGAATCTAATAAATTTTATTTTGAATAATGTAATATAATATCTCGAATCATTAATAGAATACCGTTGCGATGATCCTTATACCAAGTCAGAAAACTGCCCAAAAAACAAGTGGGTCTTCAGAAAAAATGAGTGTATTCCTGGATGTCACATAACTTCTAAAGTGTTTGATACAAAGGAAGCATGCGAAGAAATATGCATAGACTATTTGAATGAGGGGTAAAAACCTAACAGTTTTTAAATTCAAGTATACATAAATACTTGCAATAAATGAATACGTGCTTTGCATAAGAAAGCATCCCCAAAGGGAAAACAATATTTATATTAAGCGATTTCATTGTCTATTTTGGTGTCAAAATTCCAATTCAAATTTAAAGGGATCAAAATTGTGATGAAAAGGATTGCCAATTCTTCTTATAGTAGCAATATTTTATTAATAATGTCTTAAAAAAAATTATACTACCTTATAAATCATAACAATTGGTTTAGTTGGTGGCCCGACTATCTAATAATCGTAACTCAGCTAAAGGGGGGGCGGGGGGGGGGGAAATAAAAATTTTTTTTTTTTTTATTTTTTTTTTTTTAGAAGGTTTAAATTTAAAATTTTTTTTTTATTTTTATAAAATATGCAATAAAATTTTTATACTTTAGTTATAAATAAGGTATAATTTACTAAACCATAACTAATCATTAAAGTTAAAAAACTAATTTCGAGGTTTATATATATATTAATAAACAATTATAATTATATTTGCATATTTTATTTGTTTCCATACATACTGATTAAACTCGTTAAAAGCCTCTTTGAAAAAATCCGAACATTCTACAATAGCAAAAGGATTGGATACACTTTAATTAGAATAACAGTTATTCAGTAGCTGACATTTGAAAGAGGTGGTAAAAAATGAACTCTAAATTGATCGTCATTGCCATGCTTTTCGTGGCCTTTTGGAACTTAACAATTGCCTACAATAAAGGTACGAATTAATTTAGTCCAATATCTCAAGAATAACAATTTACTTTTAGAGAAGTGCGATGCACCGCCTAGCGAATCAGGGTATTGCATGGCTGATCTTCCCAGGTGGGTCTACAAGAATAAAAAATGTCAGCCATTCCCTTACGGTGGATGTGGGGGCACCCCTAATTTATTTTTGTTTAAATATCAATGTGAAGTAGCTTGCGATGTGCCGAAAACAGAAAATCACCCTTATATGGGAAAACCTTGTACAAAATGCGGTTGAAATCAGAGAGTAAACACAAAAGTAACGTAAAAATTATAACATTTTGATTTTAAGGCAATATATAAAGTTCTTAAAAATGGTTTTTTAGTTCGAATTTATATAATATGCAGCAGTTTTTCCTCTACATTTTATTTTAAACATCGTAATCGACCTACAACATTTAGAAAATGGCTTTACGTTAATTGGTTAGTAACACTTTAATTGTATTATCGGTTCTCATTAATTGTAAGTTAGTGCTTACTTAAACCACAATAAGTCTTTTATTCAGTAGCTCCCAGTCAGTGGAATAAAGCTGTACAAAATGAACAACAAATTAATAATATCAGCCATCGCATTCGTGACATTTTTCACGTTTACTCTGGCCTACAACAAAGGTAGAAATCTTAAAACTTTATTTTAGCTTTGAACCTCATGTAGACCTTTAAACTTGTAGACAAGTGTGATGCACCTCCTAGTGAGACTGGGCTTTGCAGGGCCTATTTTCCCAGCTGGACGTTCTCGGAAAAAAAATGCAAGTACTTTATTTATGGGGGATGTGGAGCGACTGCAAACATATTTAGTTCAAGTAAGGAGTGCGAAGCAGCTTGCTTAAATTAAAACAGATTTGTAATCAAAAATTAAATAAATGAAAACTACACATTTATTCTGAATTAATACATTTACTGCATTTATTATTTCAATTTCCAGGCTTTAAGAACTGTAAAACAAACATATTCCTAAAATTTTTTCTAGTCTTAAAAAATCTTTGGCGTAAAATTTGAAATTATTCGAAAATTTTCTTCGCTTATATAAGCGAAGCTAAACAGTTGTATTATTTCGGCAACTCAGTTTCCCACACCTATAGAAAGGTGCATCATGGGTAAAAAAATACTGTGGCTTTCTATAGCGATCGCATTGATGTTTCAGGGATTGGCGAGCGGTCAAAAGGGTTAGAATCATTCGAATATACTTTGAAATTATTTAATATCCTCAAGCTTTCCCCAAGCAAAGTGCGACAAGAAACCTACGCTGACAGGACAGTGCAAGGAATACAAACCTAAGTGGTTCTACTCCAGGAGCCTCAAGGAGTGCATCATGTTCCACTGGGGCGGCTGCAACCGAACGGAGAATCTCTTCGATAGCGGGGACGAGTGCGAGTCCCTGTGCATGGGTTTGGGCGAGGTTAAAAGCACGAACTAAATTTGCTCTGCCAAAGTAATCAAAATCAAAGGAAAGATTGAAAATAACCTACAATGAAATTTCAGTTTGTGTTGATAATTGTTTCGCTTTTCTTTGTGGCTGGCATCTGGGCGTACAATGCGCGTAAGTTGAAATGGGGTTTACTTTCGGGAGTTTTAGGATAATGCCAGACCCCGTTTTCGCAGGCAATTGCGATGATGTGCCCAGTCAAACGGGACCCTGCAAGGCTTCGTTTCAAATGTGGCGCTTCATCAAGAAAAGATTGGAGTGCGAGTCCTTTATCTACGGAGGATGCCAGAGCACGCGAAATATATTCGAACTGGAGTCGGACTGCCAAGAGCAGTGCCTGAGCTAAGGTCAAAATCTAAATAAACACACTTAATGCGGCCGTCTATTGTATTCCCAAAATAAAACTTTTCCAGCTGCCGTAAAGTTTCTGACGCTCGCCGAAAGTATGATTTGTCTGCAAAGTTGAAATAGATTTTTCACAACAATTTTCGTGGATATTTTCGGTGAGCCGGGCGGTGCTATGCAAATGAACTGCAGCCGAGTTTTGATTTATGCTGATGGAAATTGAGTTGCCGAAAACAATATTATATAGTTGGCCTTGCCACCAGAACCGGGAGTGTGATAATACGCTTGAAATCTGGCACCCGGCGATTTAGGCTAAAATGCATTTTGTGTATTTTTCACGGACTCGCACACACGGCGTATGCTTAATCAGCTAGTGGGATGACCGTGTCGGATCAACTGGAACCGCCACGCCCCGCTCCGCCCCCGCAATTCAATCAGGCGAGGCTGGCATCCTTCGATACCGCTGTGGCCGGGCTCCACTTAGTATGCAGGTCCCAACACAAATTAAAACCCGACAATACGCAGCGACTACCACAGAAGCTGGGAAACTGTGTTATTGTGTGTTTGCTGGCTGTCGGTTATTAGATTTCCCGACAACAGACAAAGTTCACTTGTCGCTTACATCACATGTGTTAGCAGTGCTGTCGCCATGTTTCCTTTTCCCGCCCCCGCTCCGCTTTTCCCATTTTCATTTCAGCTTTCCCCGGCATTGTGTGCGAATGTGTGTGCAGGGGAATTAAATTCATTAGCAATTTGCACGCCACCAAGCGGGTGAAAAGTGCAACCCAACTGACGGAAAACAACAGATGCAGGAAGATATATCATATATAGGGACAGATTGACAGATTCAGACTGACAGACGCTCGAAACAAACAAAACAAGCATTTCGGAATTGCCCCTTTTCGCAGCTCTTTCAGGGAAAATGTAAGAAAAACCTTAATGATAATTATAATAATTACCTCTGGCTCTGTTATCATTTTATCAACCTTAATTAATGTGCTTGCTATGGGGTTCCAAGAAAAAATCAATTTAACTGTACTACTCTCAAAAGTTCCCATTACAATTAAAAAGACAAAGTTTTTTTCATTTTGCAATGCTGGAAATTGTATTTAAACTGGTAAAGAGGTAGCAACGATGGAAACCTATCGCTTGAAGCTCAGGCTCTGGGCTGGAGAACAGAAGGCCTTGATGTGATCGCAGTCCCGTCTGCCGAGCGCCATATCGGAGTGGTAGTCTATGGGATACACGATGGGCTGGCGGTCGATGCCCCACAAGGTCGGCATAGTAAGGAGCTCGACGTCGGGATCCAACTTTATGCCGCACCTGCCCGCACACGACCTGAACCTCGGTGGCTTGTGAACCCGGTTATAGGGGTCTTTGAAGTGATCCCTGTAGTCCTGGCAGTCCAGGTAGAACGAATCGACTCCTCGCACTGCCGCATAGTCTATCACTTTCAGTCCGGGCTTATCGCAACTGAAGATTGTGAGGCGATGTATCCGACTGCTCTTGGACACATTCCACATGTCCACCTCTGGGATGTGCATCTTGATTCCAGAATTGTTGGATCGTTTCTTTGAAAAATAAAATTTTATAACGAAAAGTGTTTTGGATGTTTATCGTACTGGATCGTGTCGTTGAATAAGTTATTTGCTGGAAAAATTTAAAAATCTAGGGTTCTCACAGAGTCAATGCTTTCCAGATCGGGAAATATTATCATGAAATAAATATTTTTATGGAATAATTCCCATAAAACTCCACATGAATATGGTTTCTATTCCCTATTTCTGCTAACCGGATTGACTTTATTACAAAGTACATGGGCGGAGTGATGTGGAGTGTACACGAGCATGGCAAGAAACTAAACAGAAAGCCATTGATCCATTAACTGGAGGCCTTTTTGCCACAGAAACAGAAACTCAATCAATCAGTGCTCGGTTGCCCAGCCTGTGTTTGTCCACACATAGGCAAAGTGGGAAAAGTAAAACACAAGGAAAGCCAGGAAAATGGGCAATCAGGTCAAAGGAAAATGTCGCCGCCATTAATTAGCTGGGCTGTGTTTACTCAATTGTCTGCCATAAACTGCAGAAGCTCAGTCTGCTTTTCAGAATTAATTAATACTGCTATTAAGCATACGACCTGTTGTCCAGCTGACCATAATTACGAGACATCAATTGCCAGATACCTATTGTTTTACCTTGGCACTGATTGGTTGATCTTCATGATTTAGGTAAAAGAAAAAAGAAACCCTATTTACGAATTTTCTTAGAAGTGGGTATTATGTTTTCTAGCCATCCTAAGCATTTATAAACGAAGAGAAACTTCTCCTTAATTTACTTATGAGTCAGACTTATGACTTGCCACCATCTAAGCAGCTCGCGGGTAATTTATTAATCCAATTATCGCCAGAAGTGACACTTGATAGATTGGTCATGGGGATATATTCACAGTAAGCCATTAAGTCATTGATTGATTTAACCCTAGATCCGCGACAGACATTTTGGCCAGAGAGCCAGTTCAAAGGGCGTCTTAATGGGAGAATACGTTCGAGATCGCAGCCCCAGCTTGTTTCCCGAGCTTATTTCCCCCAACTACGTCGGTGGCAGCTTTATATGTTCAAACATAAATCATGCATGAATGTGGCAGAAAACTGATTCAAGTGGACTGGTGGCGAAGACACTGGCATACAGAACTTTGTGCCAACTCCAACGAACAACAGGCGGTGGCAAATTGCCCAACAAATCAATCAAGTACAGCTGACAGACACTGGAGATGGAAAGTTCGAGGGAAAGTTCGGCTGCTCCACAGGACATGTAAATGAAGGCAGGATGAAAACGAAAGGCTCTGGGCTGCCATTAAAGTGGCTTGTTGAGTGGAACGGGCAGCGCCGATGACCGGACATGATGGCCAATGATGCGGTTCGATTATTTGGGCCTTGATCAAAGTTTAAAGCTGTGAAGATGACGAAGGATGGGTACTTCTCCCCATCAAATATTCAGGCTTAGCTGTGAGCCCTGAATCTTTTTTTGAACCCTGAATACAAAAATGTCCCAAGTACTCTTGATTATTTGGCTGGTCCTTAAACACATTTATTAAGGAGCCAGTATATTCCACTCTTAAATTCTATTTAAATATCAAGTATGCGCCATGTGTGCCGTGGCATGAATTGTAGCTGTTTGAATTTCATATTTAGTAGCAAACATAATAATGTTCTCGTTAATTTTCTAGCTACTTTGCATTTGCCTTGGGCGTCAACATAAACATTAAAACAAATTATTCCGGCTCAAGTGAACTCAACTTCCAATCGACTTCATTATGCCACCTGCTCCCCCAGAATGGAGACCTCAGACTCAGCCACCTGGATCCGCCCCAGCAATCTCAACTTTAATTGCCAGGACTGCTCCTACATTTTTCCTTTCACCTTGCCCCCTGTTGTTTACTCTGCTTTTTGCAATTTCTTTCCCAACTTTTAGTCTGGTACTTCGCGTTGCTCCGCGTTTATTTATTTTTCTGTGAGACTGCGCATATTTTGCCTCCAAATTAATTGTTGACATTTGCATCAAGAAATAAGAAAAAGAAAACATTTGTTCCTGCGGGCCTGTAAACGGGTTAAACAATTCATATTATGCCCTTTTACAGGGTAATTTTATTTTGCATACCAAATAAGATGTACAGGCAATTTAGGTTTTAGAAATAAAAGTATAATTATAATAAATTATATTTTTTTCAACTGGTACGAAAGTCTGACCTTTTATTTTTGTGGATTTAAATAAATAGATTAATATCTTTTGGAAGGGTATTACAGCAGTCGTACTCAAAGCGAGTCTTTTTCGAATTAATTAGAAAAAGTCTGTAAGAAATGTTATTTGTTTTGTTTTTATCCAGTTGGTTAAGTGAGCGTTTGTTCAACTTGATTGGCAGATGGAAAGGATGCGATACAGAATTAATTGTGAACAGATTGAGCAATTTAGCTCATTAAATGCCAGCTTTGAGTCGACTTATATTGAAGTTCATAAAGCCAAAATACAATTTTTTCCTTGAGAAATAACCACTATAAATATTAAAACCTATTTATAGCACTGCAGTCATATTGGAAGTCTTTTGAATCTTTTTTTCGTAATCTAAAATTCTATCAATATGAAAGGTGGTAGTTGAGATCTAGTTAAGATAATGTTAAATGTATAGAGCATGTCATAACAAAATATCTATAACCAATTCTCAATTCATAAAGCATAAAATTATCTAGTCGAATTTGAAATTTACATAATTTGTGCAATATATACGCTTATGAACCGGACTGTTTGCCAACAAACCTTGTATGGTCGGCAAAGCCGCCGCAAATGTCGATATGTAAACATTTTATATGCAAAGTTTTTCACAACTTTCGGAAAACCGTAAGCATAAAAAATGAAGCTGCATAGAACGACTTCCTTCCCGGACATGGACACACAAAAACCAGTCGCCCCTCGGTATCCAAACCCCTTACCCAAACTGCCCTGCCCACCTCATCATTCACCAAATGCATTACACAAATTGTTCGTTTATGGCAGGGTAAAGGCAGAAACTCAAGCGAAAACCGCACATAAAAACTATTACGTAGGTCGGTCTCCAGGTTCCCGGCGAACCCAAATAGTTTGCCTCCGCAGTCCGCTTCCTGTCCAAAGGTGGAACATCTGTCAGCGGCATTCGAGCGCGAGACATGTGGGCGACAAACGGACATTTTGGCAACATTCTGTGGCACAACTGCAGGCTGAAAAGGAAAAGGGTGATTCGTTAATAGCAGCTGATAAGATACCTTACTAAACTTGTGATAAGAAATAAAAAAATAGTTTTTTTATATAACATTTTTTTAAAGATTTTTATGGTAATCCGTTCTGTGCGATTTTTTCTACTGACCGTTTTTAATAGGGACTTTTTTGTACACTCATAGAAATTTTTACCCTAAATCGCCCTAAAAAACTGACTTTTCGCCCGTGGATTTAGAAAATCGCCCATAAATCGTATCCGCTGGCGATTCGCCCGTGTATTTAGAAAAATTTTCTAAAAAATCCCTATGGAAATTTGGTTTAATTTAGGGTAATTTTTCTTGTATTGAGAAATATTTTCCTATTTTTAGGGTGATTTGCCCTAAGTTTAAGGCGTATTTTTCTAAAAGTAAGGGCGAACTTTCTGTTTTTAAAGGCAAATGCCCTAAAAATTATGTAAATTAAAAAAATCGTGTTTGAGCATGCTTAACTGAATTTGGGAAGCATGAATTTTAGTCGTGTATATTCTGGGAACTGGGACTGCTTTAATTAAACAACACCGACGGAGGAGACCGTTGCATATTATTGTATTGGTGTGTAGCTTATATGGGAGCTGCGTTAGGAGGGGGCCCGATCTATACAACACAGCCGTTAGAACTGAAAAATCATGTTTGTAAACGAATTAGGGAAATAAATATGAGGAGAAAAAACAACTTACTTTTTTTGGTCATTGCGAGAATCGAACCCACGACCTCTCGGTTTAGAGTCTAACGTCCTACCGCTGCACCACAGACCCATCGCGCAAGACAACGAACAAACTCTGAGGTCTACGTTATAATTTGACTAAAGGCAACTAAACCGAATATTTTTTTCCTGACGACTGTGACAATTAGTCCCGTTTTCTTGCCAGCAAACACAAAGTATGCTTTTAACTCAGAACTCCCATACGTTTTTAAGGTTTAAAGACTACTTTAATTTAAAATTCGGACGAAAAAATGTCCTTAGTATTATAACGTTTACAAAAAAAAAAAAAACATAAAAATCAAGTTGAATCACACAGGGTTCGAACCCACAACCCCACGACCTTAGTCCTCATATAGCAAAGTTGAAAGCGCAAGTGATTAGACCGCTGGGCTACCGAATTTCACACTTTTGGAGTGATTTTTAAGGCGAATCGCCCTTGTATTTGGACAAATTTTAGAAAAAAATTAGGGCAATTCGCCGTTGGATTTAGAAAAGGTCAAAACGAAGCAAATCGAAAAAATCGCCCTAAATATTAGAAAAATAGAAAAATTAACCCTAAAAATATTTTTTATGGTCACCTGCCTTGAATTTATGGCAAATTTGTCGTGAAAATAGAAAATTTTTTTCAGTTCAAGGGCGAAAATTTTTTTAGGGCGTTTTTCTAAAATGTAGAAAATTATTTTTATGAGTGTATTGGTTATAGATAAATTAGGATACAAAAGTCACCAGGGCTAAAATCTATTTATTAAAATTTATTAAAAAAAGGGATAGGATAAAAAAACTATTTCAAAATCAATAAAAACAAATTAAAAATATAACAAAAATTTGAATTTTAGTTCCTTGTTAATTTTTAAGTATTTGAAAAAGTAATATACCCTAAAAACCGTGCAACCGTTAGTAGGAAAAATCGCATCGAAAACTAGCTGACAAACATGTTCCACTCAAGCGGAGCGACAGGAGCAGAAACACGGACGGGACATGTCTCACTCCCATAAACGGATTGACATTTCAATCTCTGTGGGAATAGGGTTCCATTGGGTGAGACTCGTGCATGGCCCACCTACTTGGGCGTCTTTATCGTCTTATTTCGTGCATATTTCACAAATTGCATCCGTTTGTCGCATTTGGCAGCCATATTGCATAGCTAAACAACTTCCGCACGACTGATTGTGAGTCAATTACAAAATTGCATTTTCCCCCAAGGGGTTAGTGTCCTTTTCCCTAACCCTTCTACCCCTTTCATCTGCACAGCCATTTCCATCATTTTCCTCTGGCAGTCGCGCTTTTTAGTTTTGCTTGTTTGGAGTTTCGTTCATTAGGCCAAAGATGCTGGCAACTTTTTCTGGTTTAAGTGGCTTCCAAAATGGCTGCAAATATGTAGAGCAGCTTGTATCGTTCTTAGTTGCAAAAGTTTGCGGCTATAGAATTGAGTTAAATTTGCATATGCATATAGTGTGTTTGAAACAATAGGGAATACCAAATAAATTTGTACAATATTAAACAAGAGTCTTAAGTCCTGTAAAGTTCTGGAGTTAAAGCTCTGACAAATATTGGTATCAGTAGATAGGTATCATAAAGATATAAAATATTTAACATTTATATTTAAGATTAACCATATAAAACTTTAGTCAAAGCTGTGATACTTATCTTAATGGGGTTCGAATTTAAAGGCTAACTCCCAAAGCTCACCCAACGAACCATGAGTTGGACCCCCTTTTCCTTATAGAACCCATTAGCAGTATCCACTTGGAGTGACCCAAACTAGCCCAGATCTCCACACCAATGGGACGAAATTACTTGACCCTCTGGACGAAGCGAAGATTTGCGGCAGAGGCACGTAGGGCGAATAAATTTTGTATGACATTGCCGGGCATTCGGAATCCTTGACTCCTCGGACTCCTCGGACGGGATTTGGAGGTGGTTGCCATCAAAGTAGCGCAAATTTGTAACGGTAATTTAGCCTGGGCGTCCAACGGATTTCAGTTTTCGGGGAGATGAGACTGCTAAGTAGTCAGGACCATATTTCACGCAACGACTACAAAACAGACATGGCCACGCCCAGTTGGTAAGCAACCATGGCACATCCCCTCGGGGAAAGCACCCACATTCCACATCCCTCATCCCACATTTCTCATTCCTCATCCATCCACCCGGCGGCCGCCCCATCCATTAGATGCCAAATTGAATTAAATGTAAAAATCTTTTGCACGCAATTGAGAAATGGAAAAGTGCAAAATAAATTTATAGACATAAATATGAAAAGAGGGAGAGAGGAATAAATACTTTTCAGGACTTTTTACGACTTCCATAGAAATTAAAATGCCATTTAATGCTGGCAGCAGGAGCATATAAATTAAATGGCCGCATTTCGTTGGCGTTTTATGTTTATTTCTCGGGGTTTTGCAGCGGAGCGATTTGCCGGTAAATTGAATTGGCATAAAGACAAACTGAGAGTGCTGCCCAATCCACCGAGTGTCTCAATTTGTGAGTCCCAACCCACCAATTGGGTCCTGTCTCGTTTTATGGCTGCAGATTTATACTCGATGCGAGTCAAAAACCGTGCGATCTGTTCTATAGTTCGGGGTGCTTTCCGAAGACATTACTTTGTTGCCAATTGTTTATCCCATTTAAATTTGTTATGCCCATTTTATGTCTCTTTGTGGTTTTATGGCCAAACTTTTATTTATGGCTTTCCCTCGCTTGGCTTTTCGGTCACGCCAATTCCATTTGATTTTGTTTGCTTAGTTGGGCGCCAAAGATGAGTAAACATGAGTAATGCGGTTGTATCCCTTATTTAATGCGAATTAATTTCAAAAGTAATTCTACTTGGGGAATAAAAACCAGCAGTTCAATTAGGTTTTAATTGAGTGAAATTTTCTACGGTGCACAGTTGTCATTTAGAGGGACACTTTACCTGTGTAAATTAGATACTGCAGTTGGCACTGAGATTTGGCCAGATAAAGGTGCCCTTCTGTGTTGATTTGCGACATTTAAGAAGATTTATGACCACGCCTCGCCAGCAAATGGCATCACGACTCCGGAGCTGGCTTAAACGGAAGCTGCAACGGCAGGGGGGTTTTCAGCCAGGGGATCTGAGTCTGGCAAATGGCCGAAAGTCATTAAGTTTGCGCTTCGGTGCAAAGCAAATGAGATTTCCTCACTTGCATTTGGGCCAAACAAATTGCTTTGCATTTTGGAAAATTACCATACCTTTGGTTCCCAAATATTATGTAATTTGTATTGGTTTCTTATTTGAAAATAAATTCGAAATAGGGAATTGCAATTATTTTAAAAGTAATTTATATATCTTTCGCAAAGAAAATATTTACCAAATCCTTTTAAGGAATTCTTCCCTCTGTTTACAACTTAAATTTCCAAAGTGCCACTTTTTTTAGGTAACATAAATATTATTTGTTAGCTTAAAGAGCTCAGTTTTATGTATTCAAGTTTTGAAGGGCCACCTAGAAGATGCAACTAGACTCTAAGCTCCTTCTGAGGGCGCCATAAATATAATTACGTTTTCATTTCCGTTTCAACTCGAAAATGGGAATTTGGCCAGAAAGCAACGACTTGGCTTAGATGGAAACACGTGGCGCATGAGGCCACGTAATTTCTCGTTCTCCCAAGAGGAGCCATCTGCTTGCAAATAGTCAACCAATTTGGTTTGTAGAATTACGTCATAAATGTTCTAGTTACAAGGGCAGTTACCTTACAAGGAAAATAAAGCATTTAGAAAAAATATAGATTAAATAAGAAATGGGTAAGAAATCCACCAATATAATACCATGAAAAAGAACTGATTTAGATTATTGCACTGAAGTTTATTGAGAATATAGTGCGTATCTCAAGGTTGGAAAACAAAGGCAGATGATTACTAAGACTTGAGGGAACACAACTTGAGATATGCAGTATTTCCAGAATACTGATTGAATTCTATTACCAAACATTCTAGTCTGGCATGAGATTGTACCACTAGCGTAACATTTTGATGCCCACGTAGACACCAACGGCCATGCAGCAGCAGAAGAAGCTGCAGCGCAGCTTTTCCGCATCGAGTTTTCCATGACGATCGCAACAGAGCAGGTGAAAGATGTGTCGGAAGAAACCCCCGTAGGATCGAAGTCTTCGTCCACTCCGATTGTTTTCCACCACTACCTCCTCGTCGCTATCGTCGCGCAGCTCCACCCTGCCCATTAGTTCCAGCATCCCATCGTCCAATTGCGCCGGTGCCTCGCTAAGGTAGTTGATTGTCTTCAGTTCGCACTCCTGCATCAGATCCTGTTCCGTCGTCCGCTCCGCCTCGGGAATCCTTTCGTCCCCCGCCTCCGCCCTTCGCTGCCACCACCAGCGGAAACGGGGCTTGGAATCCACAGAGGGTGCTGTCCTGGCCATTGGCACTTGGCTGGCGAACTCGTGGTAGACAGTCGATAGGCTGATGAAACTCTTGTAGTCGCATAGTTCATTATGAGATTCCGCATCCGCCCCGTCGACCAGCCTACGCAGTTCCCGGAAGTCGTAGGGAAAGGGATAGACATAGGCATCCTGGGAGCGGGCCTCCTTCTTCTTTTTACCTTTCATCTGTTGAACCTCATCTTCTGAACTTTCAGACAGCGTGTCCCTTTCAAGGAGTGACTCCTGGTATGACTTGGATGTTTCCTCGTCGGAATCCTCAAGGGATTGTTGATCGTAATCTTCCTGATAATCCTCTGAAACATCAGCATCATTATACTTCCCTTCCTGCTTTGGGCTGGCCGACTCCTCCTCCTCCTCACCTCCTCCTCTAAAACGCCTAATGGTGTTGCTTAATCTTGAGCTAAAATCCATGGCCGCCTCCAAGGAGAAGGGCATGTTGAAGCCCAGGATATTGGTGCCCCGATCACTTTTGCTCTTGGTTCATTAACCTGTTTTGCTGTTGCCAAGTGATGTACCGACTTGGCTCGAGGATCGGATCCGGACGGTTTGCACGATTCAGGAAACTCCTAGGTGCGCTGCGCACATTGGAAGTACCAGGAGATGGCCAATAAGTTCGAGGTATAGCATTCTGGTTTGTGATTTGGGGTAGTGCCTGCATTAAACCGTAGTGCTGTTGGGGCGGCGGAACTTGCTGGAAGTTCCCGGAGGTCTGCCGATTGCACTCCAGGGCGAACTGCTGATAGGCTCTTTGCTTGGCCCGCTCCTCGATCATCGCTATATGCAGTTGGCGCTCCGCCACTCGCCGATTTCGAAAGGTTATTGGACCCGGGAAGATCTGGTGGCTCTGACACATAATGGACAGCTGGGCGTCTGTGAGGCGCCGGATATCCTGATAAATGGGGCGATCCACGGTGACAGCATTCTCAAGCATGGCTGGCGATGGTCTAAAGTGGCTTGGCTTCGGGCATAGTTTGGGCAATAAACTCACGGGGAATTTAGGGGGCTTATCCTGCAAAATTCAAATGTTAAAGCCGTTTTTCCAAATATTTTCTAATCGTAAGTACTGTCAAAAAGGTGAAATTGTGAGTTTTGATTGGTAAAATAAAGAGTGTGTTGGCTTATGGCTCAGAAAGTTTGCTGAACTTTTGCCTTTACTGTAAAAAACTCAATTTTGCATATTTCAGAGGCGAACAACAATAAATCATAACTTCCAACGCTATGCAAACAAAGAATATAGTGGAGCTGAGTAAAGAAGAAGTCGTAAAGTCATCGGAATTTGCTTTTGCTTTGTTTGCTCTTTATTTTATTTTATTTTATTTTATTTTATTATATTTGTTTGTTTTAATGACCTGCCTGCATTTCCTTGCTCCACTGGAACTCTGTCCCCTTTCGATGGCCCCCAATTTTATATTTGGTGAGCTTTGTTCTGTGTGTTATGTGTCCTTTTTAGGGGCAGTTATTTTTTGGAGAAGGGTTTCCGAATGGCAGAGAAACAGAAGTACATGCAGATAGGACTTCTTACAGATCAAAGGGGTAGCAACCTTAAAGAGAAAGTTAAAGTCAACAGTTTTGTGAAACTAATTAAACTTCTCGTAACGCTTGAAAAAAAAAAATCGAAATAGACAGCTAATTAACAAAATAGTGAATTAATACCATCAGAATTAATGAATTAATATTTTAATTTTATTTTAAATAATATTGAAAACTAATAAAATGTTGTTAATTCAAAAAATATAAATTCAAATTAAATTCACTAAACTGTATTTCAGCCTTAACAAATTTAGCAACTCCTTACAGATCAAAGGGGTAGCAGGGAAAATCAAAATCAACAGAATCATGAAAAAAATTAATATTTTAATTTGTTAAACATTTTTTTATAACTAATAGAATTTTGTTAATTAAATAAAATATAAATTGTATTTTGGCATTAATGCGCCATCTGTGCTGAAGCCATTGTAACCAACAAGAGCTTTATTTCAAAGATATTTAAACTATGGCAGAGCTTTAACCGATTTAACAACCAACAGTATAGTGCGTCTCAAACCTTTTTGACAGTTTATGAGTTAAATAATGTACCATTTAAAGAATATCAATATATAATTAATTTCAACGATAGAAACCATAGAAACCCCGCCTATCAAAATATGAATTAAAATGCTTGAAAAGTTCATTAAATATTCATAAAGTTTTATTAGTAAACATATATTTAGACTACGCACGACTACAAACATTTTGATGATTCGTAACCTAAAAAATTCTCCTTTTTGGCTGAAAGCATGGCAAACATTTAAATATTTCATTTATTTTATGGTTATTTTTTGTGTAATTATTTTTTTTTCGTGGAATTTGGCAAAGATGTGACCTAATTTATTTTTACTTTCTTAATATGTTATAAATAATTTGTTACTCGTATAAATTTGTATTTGTGTGATTGCAGCACTCTATTATTGTCATTCAAGAATTCGATTTCCACGCTTTAAATATAAATATTTCCATAAAGTTTTATGTATGTATACTTAAGCTATTAAGTATTTACAAAGCTCAACTATGAACACGAACTTGTAACGGCATTTGAAATTCTGATTCGATTTGAATTGGTTTTGGTTATTACTTGTTAGTGTGTTAATTAATCTGTTTTCTATTTGTAAATTGTCTTTTTAAATTATTTTGTTTCGCTTTGCTATGTCAAAAGGTTTTAGAATAATGTTCAACAAATACTAGATACGAATCTCAACAATTTGCGACCTAATCAAATGCAATTGCTTCAAGTTGGGATTGTTTGTCTGGAATTGAACTAATTTTTACTCTTCGATTGTAATACTAATCGTATGGGAGAATGTAATGCAAATTTGAACTCAATTTAATATAATTATATTTAAAAATTATTTACACCTTGAAAGTATCTCTAATTTAGACGATAAATGTTCTTTTGTTTTCAACTTAAACCTTATTTCTGTTCTCGCTTTTGATCTTTAATTTTGGGAAAAACAAACTAGTTAACGAATGTGTCACTTAAATTCGTTGCTGGCTTAGTACTTGTACTCTGGCAGAACTCAAGCGTCTGCCGGAGGAGCTGCATCAAATTGATCAATCTGGAAATTGGAAGCGACTTGGTCACCCAAAATAATCCGCAAACAAACGTGATGACTCCGCCTCAGTTCCGATTCGATAGGATCCTGCGACGCTCCTTAAAAGTCCTCATCGTCGTCGTAGTCATCGCTATCGCTGTCGTTGCTGGGGAGGATGTGGAAGCAGGCCCACAGCCGGGACATGTCCACTCATCGTTTGCGGTTATAGGCGCCAAGCGAAGACTGCCTTCATTCCTTCATCTCGTGGCCATTGGGTCCCAGCTCGAGGAGCTCATGGGGCTCGGCATTCAGCTGGGGGAAAAATTATAAAGGTCAGTAATGCACAAAAATTTAATTTATAAGAAGTTTGTGAATTTTATTATGAGAGAAAGCTGCAAAAATTAGCATTTAAGGCAGATTTTAAATTCAATTTTTCATCAATTCTTTCTTGTTTAACTTACAACAAAATACAACACTAAATTAAATTAAGACCTCTAAAGATTTAAATTAGATCCTCTAGACTTTCACTTACCCTATCCACGCTGGCCAGATCGTTCTTCGACAGATGATTAACCAAAATAGTGCCCAGGGCATCGCACATCACATTGATGGTGGTGCGGAAGCGATCCCTAAAATATTACAAGGTTACAAAAAAACCATATGAAATTACCATAGCTGACTTACAGTAGCCAATCGACAGCTATGATGAGGGACACATCCTTCGGCTCCAAGCCCACAGTGTCCAGCACCATGACCATGGTGACGAGTCCGGCCTGCGGGATTCCAGCTGCTCCGATCGAGGCTGCTGTAGCCGTTATGCTCACGGCCACAATGGTGCCGAAGGAGTAGCTCATCTCACGATATTGGGCGATGAACAGAGCAGCCACAGCCTCATAGAGGGCCGTTCCGTCCATGTTGATGGTGGCGCCCACGGGAATGACAAAGCGAGTGACCCGCGGATCGATGCCCATGTTGTCCAGACATTTGATGGTCAGTGGCATGGTGGCAGAGCTAGAACCAGTTCCGAATGCAGTGGCTAAGACCTGACTGAGCTTGGCAATAAAGCGGTACGGAAGTCGACGGGTGCCCAAGAAGAAGATCACAGCAATGGTACCTAAAGGAAAGTAATAAGTTATCATAATATCCTTTCGATTTAATCTATCTTAATTTCTTCTACTTACCAAAACCATGCAAGAATAGACCTATCATGACCGTTATGAAATACCATCCCAACGATTGTATAGTTGCTGCTATCGACTCCATCTCAATGATCTTGGCGGCTATTAAGAAGGCCACTCCAAGCGGAGAAATCCTAAAGAAATCCATTATTAGATTCCGAACTCGATGTAATTTAACCTTCACCTACCAAATAACCCATGAGGTGATGGTCATCATGGCCTCGCTGAGGGTGGTGAAGAAATCCTGCAGCAATTGACCCTTCTCACGCATTCTTCCAATGGTGGTGCCTAGGATTACACTGAACATCACAAGGCCCAGAACATTGGAGCCCTCGCGCTGAGCGGACTTGAACTCCCAGTTTTCCATGGGTTCTATATGAGTAATTATAGGAATAAGTTTCGCAATGAGTTTGGGATGGGGACTCAAGAACTTACGTGCTGGGCTAATGCTAGTGTTCTCATAGATCTCAGTGCGGTGCTAAAATGGAGCAGGTGTAAAAAGATTAAATATGATTGTAGAATTTAATAAATATTGAACTGAAATTAATTTTTATTTAAGATTTCCTATCATCCAAAATGCAAATAAAAAATATATACAAATACTAAATTCTTTTAATATCTTTGATATCATGTTTTCATTCTTATCTGGCTGTGTTTTTCCATGTTCGCATCTGGATTAGTGAAAATTTGTTTTGTCTGTTATTTTCCTTCATTGAGTCGACAATAATCTAATTGGGCGCATGAATATTCATTCGGTTGCCTACCTACATCAACATGCCCACGTACATATGTGCATATAATTATGAAGGTACAATGTCCACATATCTGCCACAGTCCGCACAGTAAGTACTTTGATTCAATTTGCGTCTGGGGCCTCCTAAACCGTGTTGATACGACCGCTTCCCTCGCACTCTCTCCCGACTCTCGCCGCACATGCGATAATTGAAATTTAAGCACTGACACTCACTCACACCGCGAACACTTGTGTGAAATCCCCCTACTCGAATCTGGATTGTAATTGAAATTGTGGTATCCCTATCATGTCAGTTTTGATTATGTGTCGCGCTTTGTTTCAATCAAAATCTCGCCAAACCGCAAAGAATTGAATAATTGCTACCGTCGTTGGTAGCCCCTCGATGTTCGGTGTTCAACAGTGCGTATGACCAATGCCTTAGACCTTAGACGAGAGACTCACCTGGAACATGGTCGACTGAATGATGTTGTCCGTAAACATGTTTCTATTGAGAGAAATAAAGTGAGTCATATTGCGGGCTAGGTTATCGGCGGATTCCCACATACCGCACCAGATCCATCAGCGTGTCTGGGGTGAGCACCTTGGACGCCTTATCGATGCTCTCCGTCTGGGTCTCCACGATCTTGGCTCCCTGGCCGGGACGCAGTGTGGTCACCAGGCAAATGCCCAGAATTACGGCCGATATGGTGGTCACAAAGTAGTATGTGATGGCTCTAATAGGGTGGGAAATTATATTTTTATAGTTAGGCATATTATTTGATCTTTATATTTACGAACTTACCTGGTAGCAATTTTGCTGGACATGCTAAGATCGAGCCCACCAATGGCGCTGGTGATTGACGACACCAAAAGTGGGACAATCAAACATTTTAGCATTCTGAAAAAAAAATATTTTATTATAATAGATAACTTTTATAAAATTTTTGAGATCTTGAGATCTTTCTAGTCCTTACTCACCGTAAGAAAATCTCTCCGGGAAAGGATATGTACATGATCTCTCGTTTGGACCACTCGCCCGTACTATTTTTGATAATAAAGCCGATGAGTCCTCCCACGAACACACCGATAACGGTGGCCATGGTAAGGACATTCTCCTGCATGAACGACTTGAACTTGCCGCCATCCTGCTTGGGTCGCGTCATGGTGACGGTCCTTTGACTAGCTTAGGGTCTCTACAACCCTGAATCCAGCCGGAAGCCCTCCTCACGCACTTTCGCGTGCGTTTGCTGTACCTCTAAGATATCCGGTCAGATAATAAAGGGTGTCCTAAAATTATAAATACAATTCTATAAATAGTTATCTTTTAAACGACATTTGTACAATGATTCGTAGGATAATATTAAATGGTTATTTTGGGTTATATTTGTTCTTCTACTTAGATTAGCTGTATAGCTAAAAGCTCAACGCTTATTATTTCAAGTTTTCTGTATAAAATCTAACCGTAAAACTAGTTCCAGCCTGAAGAGATGTTTTTTAGGGGGTTGAACAGTAGCGATTCCTCTTCACCAGTCAACAAGCGATCGACGACTGAGCTTTCGCACAAAGCAGATATTTACAACCCCAAAATGAGTCAAGTCAGGCAGCTGGGCTTTTGTGATTTATGCTCACCCCCTATCTACCTCTAACCTCCGCTTTCCGAGGGGTGTTACTTTTGACACGAAGCCGGACGGATGTTGTTCAGCGTTGGATTTATTTCGGAATATTTTTCAGAACACTTTTCAAGAGGAAAGGGCGGAAGCGAGAGCTTGATGCCAATAGTTCTAACAAACGAAACTCAAACATTGCAAAGCAATTAAGAAGTTAACGCTGGCTATTAGCACTCATTTAGCATTGACACTTTTTCCCATTATGCAAAAATGTGCTAGAAACGACAAACAATAAGAGATAAACAGCAACAGATCCCTAGAAGAATGCAGCTCAATTGATCAACGCATTGTGGCTGTGAAACGTGTCAAACTAATAAATTTACATAAACGACCGAATAATGAAAACAAATTTAATGTCTTAACTGTGTGCAAGGGCAGCCAGCGAGGAGGCGGCGATCAGTGATCTAGGCAGATCAGATATGGTGATTCCGATTCCGACTGCCCCAAATTGACACCGTTTATATCATGGCCATTAAAATATCCTCTCAATTGGAATATGCCACTTGCAATTTGGGATTAATCAAGAAATCTTTGCACTTCGAAATTGTTTAGCCAATTGTATAACAATTGACGAGGAGACAGCGAACACTTTGGTGTAGTAGACATAAATTGGAGAGGTGACTAAACAAGTGACTGCGATCATTGCGATTTGGTTAGGAAGACACAAAAACTTTTACAAATTCTTTTTATCGATAAAAACGTATATTACTTTTTTAAAGCACACTATAAGATAAGTCGGCGGAATAGAAAATTTAAAAATATTTTATTAACAGTTTTAAGAATAAGTTCAATTTTAAATTTTAAATAGGTTGGTCAAACAAATGGAAAGTTAAAACTGGAAGTTTTGTGACAATTTTTATAACGGTAAGATTTGAAAAAATTTAAGTTTTAAAAAAATTTATGTTTTAATATAATGAAAATGCATTGTTTTTTTTGTTTTTAACTCTCTCTTTTTTATCTTTAATCTAACAAAAACACCTTTTAACAAAATAAACTATCATGAAAAAAAAAAATTCGACTAAATAAATACACTTTCTAAAAGTAGCTGAAGTTTTCCATACTTTGACCAATTATTTTTTTCAATGTCTTGGTATGCACACCTTTTTGTCAAAGTACGTCCTTCCACAGTGATATATCTATCGAGTATTTTGTTTTAAATGTAGGGTATCTTCAGTGTCGACTAACTTTTAGCTCTTGCAGCATTTCTCCCTCAGCAATGAGATCACTGATCACAATTGTCTGGGTGCTCCGCACCCTTTGGGAGGCCGACGCGATGATAATGCCATTATGTGTCCGACGATCTCGGTCCGGTCGGTATCTGCGGTTCGCCTAATTGATGTAACTACAGAACAGAATAGTCGAGAAACCGAAACTGATTCTGAATGGATGATTGGCATGTGCCCAGGTCGTATCTTGGGTAAAATCGGGGGACAGGTGGGTGTGCTTTTCATTGATATGGTTACTTTTGGTTGGGCTCAACTGTATTTAGTGGGTGTAGTGAACTGTATCAGGGCATTTAAACCTTAGAGGTGTTTATCTTAATTAATTTGCGAAAGTGATAAAGTGGATGCACAGATAAGAATTCAATTTAAAAAGTATAGCGAAACTTGAGTGGAATGCACTTGGAATGCAGTTGCACTCGTGCCTAGCTAATTTATTTACTAAACCGCGTTTGAATTTAATTGAATTGTCTTTGTGCACATTTATGTATACAGCTATTTATTCATATTTTTCTATTTTGAACTTGACCGTGAACGAGTCTGTTTACATATGTATAGCCGTAGGCAGAAACTGTTCCATGTGAATATGTGTAATTTGTTAAAATGGTGTCGCAGTTGCTTTGAATTTCAATTGCAGCGGAAGTTTCATTGATCATTCAAGTTCATTGACAAAAGGATGGGTTTCATACGAAACGGAAACTAGACCGTCGATTGACAATCATCATAATTAAATGGAAATTCAAAACCCACTTTAGCATTCACATCAGCGTGATCGGTGGTGAACTTGAACTTGTCTTTATAAGCGTTGTTTTAAAGCTCGAAGCTCTAATTGATTGGACCTATGACCGATAACTAGAACTATTTTCCATCGAGATTCGAAAAAAATCATTTTCTTTTCTTATTTAGAAATTTTTGCTTGGTATTTATGAAAACCATTTCTTTGCCATTTTTGATTGGCAGACAGTTTACATGATCACAAACGCAGTACCTACAAGTTTATTATTGTTGATAGTCAAACACAAATATATATCCAGAGATGAATACTAATTAATGCGCTAGACTATGACTTATATAACATAGGAGTACTTTTACTACCCAGCTAATTAATGCAATGCAAACTGAATTCAGAGCCCATGTTCGAGGGACAGCAAATTCATTGAAAATGCAAATTGATTTGCATTCTGCGGGGGTTGGGTCAGACAAGGGGGTATATGAGGGGCGGAAGGTTTACCCACCCACTTGTCTTCGATGTGAGGAAATTCATTAAAAAGTGACTGAGGAGAACCAGTTTAATCTGATCTCAACCTAGCAAAAAAATCATTAATATGTTTGCGTTATAAAAGCTATTATCACCATTTATTAGGTTAATGCTAAGGCATCGGTTTATGAATTTAAAAGCATTTCCATGGAAAATGTAATAACTAAAATTTACACCAAAGAATTTGTTTCTATACAAAAATGACGTGAGCAAAATGCTATAACTTTTATATATTTAACGTTCGCCAAGTGAAAATAAAAATAAAACGCAACGGAAAGTTTAGACTTGGAACTTAAAAATACTATAACTTAACTTCAATATTAAAATCAAAATCTGTGACTTTATAAACAAACACCTTCAGTTGGTTTCAGATGATAAGAAAAGTGTCTAAATGTACATAGTACATTTTCTATATGAATATGCATATGGATGACGCTATAATCTCGACTCATCCGACTGACCGTAATCTACAGACTGAATGTCTGACTATCTCAAAATATTGCTCGACATTTCCATCAAGTTTAACCTTATCAATATCTCTATAGTTCCGCAAAACGAAGAGTTAAAAGAGCAATCAGCACGCAGCTTAGTTCCAAATAATCATAAATTAGTGTGAAGATGAAACTGATTCATTCTCGATTGGAACGGACATTTATTGGGGATTTTTCGAACAATTTTCCACGTGCCCGGCTAATAAGTATTTTTTATTTAGGTGAGAAAACTTTTACAATGTGCGAGGGAAGATTTTAGAATTTGGCAAATATAAATGTGTCTCTTTAAAATTCTGTGTTTACAAGTCACAATATTTTCCCATTTTCTCATCATTATGACGAAGGAACAGATAAAACTATTTTGGGTACACAGCGCAAATAAAATGCTTTGTGCGCTAAAAATAAAAATAGTTAAGAAGAAAGCGGAAAATGCATAAGCCGTGGTAACAGTCTGACACGCCTCTGTCTGTGCAAAATTGGTGGGTGGTTCACCAAGGTTATTGGCGCGGTTGTTCAGTATCTTATCAGCATTAGAAATCGGAAATTATTCACGCTTCTCGCTTGGCTCTTAAGAAGAGTAAATCGATGCGATGGCAAGTAAATAAATGAAAGATGGATCAGCAGACTGCTTTTTATCCTTTGTAGGAATATTGAAACTTGTATGTTTAAATTCATGAAATTAAGGATTTCAGCTGCTAAATTTCGTTGAGAAATAGGACTGACTAATTTTACATTTAAGCGTTGTCAGATTTATGACAAGAATATGGGTATTACATATGTTAATATTAATTTAAAAATATATATATTTCCTACAAAGCAATTTTTTAAATGTTTACAGGGTAATAAATCAGCTGCATAATTCCACCCGGTTTCCTCTCGCCAGAGACACTCACTTGGAAACAAATAAAAACATTTAAAATATTTACAAAAATGCAGGACCTTCAGTCCTTTGATGGATTTCACAATATAATTTTCAGGCACAGTTATTTCTGTTTCAAATAAATTGTCTTTTCTTCTCAGCTGCGGATATGTAAATAGTTCTCATCTGCTAGCAATCGTCCGAGCACTTACAATCAAAAGCATTCACATGTGCCGCTGGCTGGGTAAAATTCACGACTTATTTAAGAACCCTTCAGGCACGAGCCCGAATCGAATGGCGGAGGATCGGAGAGGCGCGTTGTCCCGAGCACGCGGCGATATAGAAACTGACTACTGATCGGGGAGTGATGCCACACACCGATTCTTATTCCGATCTGGGCTGGTCGGCTCTGCTAGCTGCGGCAGTAGAACCTGACTCGTCGGTTTGTAAAACAGTACTAGAAACTAAATCGAAATCAAATTCGAAATATAGCCAGCTACCGCGCAAATTGCTCGGCGGCAGCGACGTCGACACAGATGGCATCTGTGTTGCGGGTGTGTGTGCCTGGGGGTTGACTTTCATTCATCAAAAGCTGCTGCTGCTTCGGCCGACTGCGCTGCCTTCGCTGCCCATCGCATTTCACGTAACGCATACGCAGCGTCGGCCGCGTAATTTGTCGCGCCTTGTTTCGCTTTCCCTCGCTGCAAGGAGTGCAGTGAAAGGAGCTCATTACAGTAGTTGAGTGTCTTGGCATATCCACTTTCGATTACTTCCTTCCCATTAGTTGCTGCATTGTGAGGGCACTGCACTGATCATCCTCGCATTGTGGCTAATCAGGCAATCAGGGGATTTTCTGGCCGCTTCAAGGTCTTCCTCTCTGCTATCCGAGCAAGATGAAAGAAAGGAAAACTCGGTTTAGATCTGGTTTATTATTATGTCACAACGCACTCGCCCTATAAGTGGGTCAAGTTTGTGAATTACCCAATCCAAGCAATGATTACACCTCATAATGCTGAAAAGATCGTGACAAACCACCCCGAAAGAGCGGGAACAATGGTCAGAGGCATGGACTACTTGAACCTGATTGAGTGTGCCGGCAATACAAAAGGCCAGGAATCCAAGGGAACCAGCAAGAAAGTGGGTCCGAGTCCTAGGCTGACCGAAAGAATGTTAGTCGAGCGTTTCCGGTTTCATATTCGTATTCGTACCATAATAAATATCAGCAGCAGAAATAAGGCAATAAAAATCAGCAGCAGCATCATCACAGCTGCAGCTGCCTTTGATCTGCTTCAATTCGATTTGCCTTGGGGGCCAGTTCCAGTTCCATGCTGGTGGGAAATGAGTGTGGTATGCTCTAACTGCGGAAGAGCAGGCCGGAGGATGGGATGGGATGCTGCTAAGTGGCGGGCAACGGCGATTGCCGTAGTCCCTAAACGTGGCAGCCGGGGATGCTGTTCCCCCCGGCCCACTTGAGCTGCCCCTTCGGATGGGTCACCGCTTTCTCATGTGGAGAGGTGAGGTGCTGCCGATGCCGCTGCCACAGGCACAACACACACATTCGGACCGGAACTGTCGATCTTCATTTTTGACACTGGAAATTTCAAAAATCACACACCAGCCCACAATGTTGAGGTTGGAAATTGCACACCAATCGTGTTGCTATGTTGAGGTATATAAATAACTAAATAATTAGATGCTCGTCGGTGTTTGTGGACCCAAGTTAATTCACAAAGTGCCTGCTAATGAGGATGAGCCTTTGGTAGGGGGCTTAAGAAGGAATCGAGTTTAAAGTGGCTTTAGACATTATGGATTGAAATGTAATACAATACATATTTGGGCAGTGCGGTTAAAAGTTTGCTTTTTAATAATTCTTGTAATGGAAGAGCATTTAAATTGAATAGATTAAGATTGTGTCACTATTCAAAGGGGTACATAAAAGCCATAGGTTTCAGAAGATTACAGTGGCTTGCTACTTGGTAGAAATAAATAAATACTTATTAATACCTTTTACTCACCCATTAAATTATAAAAAAATTTAAGTTTGCCAATGATTTACCAAATAATTCCAAGGTTAGGCCGCATTCATTGATTTTCTAGAAATAAAATAGAGTGTAAGTTCGCTGGTCTTAGAAATATGTAAACGTACAAGCTACTTACTCGTCTGCAAATTAAATCCAATCTACAACCACCTGTACCCAAAACTCAACAAGTAAAAGGCACAGATTTGATCGATTTGGAAAAACTTCAAGCAATCAACGCCTCAAGCTTCTCCATACATTAAACATATTTATTTTAAGTTCATTATATTATGTGTAAACATATGTATTATTGATTAAGAATTTCAAGATCACAAATCAGATTTCATTTAAGCTTATAAAAAGTGAGCAAAATTCATTTTTTCGCTTCCGTTTCGAAATGGCAACATATAGGGTATGATATAGGTAAAAAGGAATGATTCGGGACTACCACCTCTGAAATATCTCCCGTAACCGAGGTGAGGTTGAAAATGGCAAACTGGGCCCTAGCTCTAGGTGCTATATATATAATAGAGAGGTAAAAGGTAAAGACAGTTGATAGCGGGGCAAACATGATTAAAAAAGAGAGTATTACGAAGCACACGTTTCCCGAGGGATTCCTATGATGATGATGATGAGGTTGTTGTTGTTGTTGATGTTTGTGCAACAGTTGGTTGTTTTTCGCAGTAGCAACCACCACCACCGCCAATACAAATTATCGGCAGCAGCTGCCGGATATATGAGTATAGGTATGTGCTATGTATGTGTATCTGCTGCAGTTGTTGTTGTTGTTGGCTAATCCGTTTTGGGGCGCCGAAAGAGCAGGATGTGGGGCTCCGGCTTGTGGATCATGTAGTGGATCCATCCGCGCGACTGCTGGACCCCAATGGACCGCCACTCGGCCTCCGTCATCAGGTGGGTCTTGGGCACCATTTTGACCAGTTCCTTCGGCAAAACCACATGTCTGCGGGGGAGGAGGAGAATGGGGAGGGGGTTTTACAGTTGCTCCGCCTGGCTGTATTATATGCTGTACCCACCTGTACTCGAACTGCTCGTCGTAGTACTTGTCCGAGTAGTAAATGTCCTTGCTCATCGTGCCTGTGAACGGTGCTTCTTCCTGGAATTGCGCAGGAATGCGAATGCGAGTGTGCGAAATGCGGAATTCGGCGTCTCTTTTTCTGGACCGGCCAATGCCTGGATCTCGGGTTTCCAACTGGCCACGCGTGCTGATTCACTTGACAAACTCTGCTACTGCTTTTCTGGCCTGCGCTTCTTAGTTTTTATCACAATCGGGTTCCGTTTGCATGCTCAAATTTACGTTTGGTTTGCAATTTTTTAAATAAAAAGCGACGCGGTTATGGATTAATGTGACCGTGTGTCCGACTTGAAAAAATGTACTTAAATATACCACAGGTATTTGGAAGATTTGTGCTAAAATGTTAGGAGTGTGTATTCGCTACTGTTAAAATACAGCGGAGGTGACCTAGCGAATACACCCTCCTAACATTTTAGGGTGGCCGTTTGAAGAACATTACTGAAATAGCGAGGACACAAACCTAAATAAGCCGTTAATTTAAAAAGTATTGCAGAAACAGTGAATACAAAATTGTAACAAGAGAGAACGATATAGTCGGGTGCCCCGACTATCAGATACCCGTTACTCAGCTAAAGGGAGTGCGAAGGAGATGGAGAAAAACTTTGATCCGCCGTAACTTTTTAACGAATGGTCCGATATAAAAAATTTCTTCTACATTTCGATAGGTATTGATAAACACAATAAAACTGCATTTTTACTTTTCCAAAATATTAAAATTTTTAAAATCGTATATAAGCGATTGTGGGCGTTAGAGGGGGCGTGGCACCCTTTTGAAATAAACTTGCGCTGCGTAGGAACTCCTAGAATCTGCATACAAAATGTCAATCTTCTAGGAGTCAAAATCTGCCAAGTGGGCCACCCCTGTTCCGAAGGTCCGATTTTCATCGAACTTTTTTACTTTTCCGGTTCACAACGAAAATATAAGAACTTCATTTGAACGGTTTTGCGAAATTTTGAGTTTTACCGGAGTTATAGGGGTCAAAACATGGCATTTTTGACACTTTTTCGAAAAAGTTGCACTCAGTCATTAATTCATAACTTCGGAACGGTAAGAGATATCTTTATGATGTTTTCACTAATCGCTCAAGAATTATTATGGCTTTCCATAAAAAAATGTAAAAAAAAATTAAAATTTATTTTTCTTAAAAATAAATCAACATTTTTTTTTAGTTTTTATTTTTTTCAGTGTTCTTCACCAGCTATAGAGTTTAAAACCATTTGAAAATGAAGTTTGATTCATTACGAAAAAGATCCAAAAAAAAAAAAGAGTGGCCCGGACAAAGGTTTTTCGCAATATCGATTTAAAGAAGGGCGCACAGCGGTTTTCCATACAAAAACGGCTTGCTCGTGAAAATTGGCTGGTCAACACATGCCGTTGCGCGCGTAGCGTCAGCCGACTGCAGCTGTCAATGAGGCACTTCTTGTCGTTTTGTATGGAAAACCGCTGTGCGCCCTTCTTTAAATCGATATTGCGAAAAACCTTTGTCCGGGCCACTCTTTTTTTTTTTTGGATCTTTTTCGTAATGAATCAAACTTCATTTTCAAATGGTTTTAAACTCTATAGCTGGTGAAAAACACTGAAAAAAATAAAAACTAAAAAAAAATGTTGATTTATTTTTAAGAAAAATAAATTTTAATTTTTTTTACATTTTTTTATGGAAAGCCATAATAATTCTTGAGCGATTAGTGAAAACATCATAAAGATATCTCTTACCGTTCCGAAGTTATGAATTAATGACTGAGTGCAACTTTTTCGGAAAAAGTGTCAAAAATGCCATGTTTTGACCCCTATAACTCCGGTAAAACTCAAAATTTCGCAAAACCGTTCAAATGAAGTTCTTATATTTTCGTTGTGAACCGGAAAAGTAAAAAAGTTCGATGAAAATCGGACCTTCGGAACAGGGGTGGCCCACTTGGCAGATTTTGACTCCTAGCTTTTATAGTTTCCGAGATCTCAGCGTTCATACAGACAGACAGACGGACAGACAGACGGACAGACAGACGGACAGACAGACGGACAGACAGACAGACGGTCAGACGGACAGACGGACAGACGGACATGGCTAGATCGACTCGGCTAGTGATCCCGATCAAGAATATATATAGTTTATAGGGTCGGAAACGCTTCCTTCTACCTGTTACATACTTTTGCACGAATCTAATATACCCTTTTACTCTACGAGTAATCGCATTTGGTAATTAAATCTATAAAATTTAATTTTTGAAATTTATTGAGACATTGCAAATGGGAGTATTTACTAAATTACCCACTCACAATTTTTTCATCGCATTATGACCCTTTTAAATTGAAATTGAAATTTCTAGGTAGGATCTTGCCGAAAACAGAAAAAACAAAATTAGTAAAATATTATTATTCTGCCCTTGGGATGAATTTTAATTTTTATTTGATTTCAAAAAGCTAATGCTTTTACCCACAGCACATTTAGCTTAGTTTAAGCAAGATGCCTCGCATAGAGATTTAAGTCTAAGAAATATGTTTGGAGTGGCCCCACACCCACCGTACTTTAAGAACTGACATTTTCCATCCTTATAGACCCACGCGGGAATTGAGGCCCGGCACCTTCCTGTCACGCTGGGAGGAGCATCGCATTTCTCTATTAATATAAAATATCGTTAAAAATATTATTAAAAAAAAACATGTTTTAACTTTTCCCACCTTTATCGTAGGCAAGTGTAATAGTGCAAACAACAGCAAGAACTAGGATAATAGTATTTAATTTGGAGGCCATAATGTTCCGCTTTAACCTGAGGGCTTTGAGCTACTGTGTTTCTTAGTCTGACAGGTTCAATTTTAAATATTTCCTGTTTTGCAGTTATTGAAACTAATAATCAAATTAAAGTGTAACAAACCCGATTTTTATATTTTTTAAAAGCGTAAAATTACTTAAGAGACTTAGTATACAAGAGGTTTTCATTATTTTTAACATTGACATTATTGGCATTATCTTTCTTAATTTAAATGAAAATAACTAGTTAGGATCTTGACAAAAACAGACATCTAAAATGGGCTAGAAAATTAGTAAAGTAAAATTATTCTACCTTAAGGATGCCTTTCTCATTCAAATCGCGTATTCAGTTTAAGCTAGTTTTCATGTTTATTGGAATTCAAATAATTGTAGGTTTTTACCCATAAAATTAAAGTTAAGCGGAGGTGACCTAGCGAATACACCCTCCTAACATTTTAGGGTGGCCGTTTAAAGAACATTACCGAAATAGCAAGGAAACCCACCTAAATTAGCCGTTAATTTAAAAAGTGTTGTACAAACAGTGAATACAAAATTGTAAAAAACCAAAATGTAATCGCATTTGGTAATTAAATCTATAATATTAAATTTTTAAAATTTATTGAGACATTGGAAATGGCAGTATTTACTAAATTAACCACTCACAATTTTTTTCATCGCATTATGACCCTTTTAAATTGAAATTGAAATTTCTAGATAGGATCTTGCCGAAAACAGAAAACAAGAATACTAGTAAAATATTATTATTCTGCCCTTGGGATGTTATTTTATTTTTATTTGATTTCAAAAAGCTAATGCTTTTACCCACAGCACATTTAGCTTAGTTTAAGCAAGATGCCTCGCATAGAGATTTAAGTCTAAGAAATATGTTTGGAGTGGCCCCACACCCACCATACTCTAAGAACTGACATTTTCCATCCTTATAGACCCACGCGGTAATTGAGGCCTGGCACATTCCTGTCACGCTGGGAGGAGCATCGCATTTCTCTATTAATATAAGATATCCTTCGAAATATTATTAAAAAAAACAAGTTTTAACTTTTCCCACCTTTATCGTAGGCAAGTGTGATAGTGCAAACGGCAGCAAGAACTAGGATAATAGTATTTAATTTGGAGGCCATAATGTTCCGCTTCAACCTGAGGGCTTTGAGCTACTGTGTTTCTTATTCTGACCGTTTCGATTTTAAATATTTCCTATTTTGCAATTTTTGAAACTAATATTCAAATTAAAGTGTAACTAAACCCATTATTAAGCTTTTTAAGGCGTAAAATTACTTTAAAGACATAGTATACAAGAGGTTTTTATTACTTTTAACATTGACATTAACATTGATTGGCATGATTCTTCTTAATTTAAATGGAAATTACTAGTTGGGATCTTGACATAAAATGGGCTAGAAAATTAGTAAACTAAAATTATTCTACCTTTGGGATGCTTTTCTCATTCAAATCGCGTATTCAGTTTTAGCTAGTTTTCATATTTATTGGAATTCAAATAATTGTAGGTGTTTACCCATAAAACACATGGAATTGTTTAAGAAAGCTGCTTAAATCACGATTGGCAAGCTCTTTCGCAAAAAACCTTATCACGAAAAAAGTTAGCAGTGTGCCCACATCCAGTGAATTCGAAGGGCTGACATTTTTTGTCCTTGAAGGTCCACCTGGTGACCGATGCGGCCAAGCAAGGTCCCTCCACGCTAGGGCGGGCATCGCACTTCCCTGAAAATGTACAGTCAGACACTAAATTTGTTATAGCTTATCGAGATGGTTTTTAGATCCGTACCTTTGTCGTAGGCTCTGGTTATAGTGCAAAAGGCCACAAGAACTAGGATAATGGTAATTAGTTTGAAACCCATTTTGTTCAGTGTTAACCTGATGATCTTGGGCTACTGTGCTTTCTATTTAACCATTTACGAGTATATAAACAAGCTATGATAATATTACGATAAATTGATATTCAAATTAAAGTGTAGCTAATCACATTGTTATGCTGTTCGAAGGTGGATTCGACACTGGTTTATTCGAAGTGATATTTGTTTGGTTTAACCTTTTGATATACGGTTCAATATAAATTTTTTAATCTAAACACTTTTGCTAGCCTAAGAGTTAATTTTAAAAGATCTTAATAACTACCAAAGTACAAACACCTTATGAATAGAGGCTATTCAAGAAATAGGTAGGCGAACATTTGGAAAACTTCCCACACAAACTGCAAGCGAGCGCCGAAAATAAATACTTGCGTTAAATTGTCTGACCATTACTAGTACCCCCCGCCCCCTGCCACGCCCCCTGTCTGCGTGGAAAACCCTAAAAGGCTGCATGCAGACACATAAATTGGGCAGAATGTTCGCAGCGGAAAGCAAAGGCGTTGGCTCTCAACTCGTGCGAAATCTTACATAAATTTCGCGGCGTAGACAACCCGAAATGGTAGGCAACCCGTCGACCGACCAGAAAAACCAAGGATACCGATTGCAGGCGAATCGTTGGTGGGGCAATGCATTTGGTTAACGGCAGGAACAGTTAATGGTTGCGTTCGTAGTATTGCGAGGGGATGAAGATCCAGTTCTTGGCCAAGTCATTGATGGCCTCCTGCATCAGACGGGATAATATGTCTATAATGTGGCTAGAAGAGAGGAGAAAGATTAATATTATATATTATTATATTATAATATAACTTTATTAATCGTTCACCGATCAAAGTCAATATTAATCTTGGCATTTTACTTGTAATTCACATATGAAAAACAAGAAAGGAAGCTAGCTTCGGCCAGCCGAAGCTTATATACCCTTGCAGATCATTCCTATTAATTAACAAATCGCAAAAATGTTCAATTTTCTAATATTTCTCATTAATTTTCCGACCGTTCCTATGGCAGCTATATGATATAGTCGTCCGATTTTGATAAAATGAAAATTGAAATTCGGAAATATTTAAAAAGAGTCATGTTCTAAAGTAGAAGAGAATACAATAAAAACCAAAAAAGCTAAAATTTATTTCTGTGTAACTTTCCCATTAATTTTCCGATCGTTCCTATGGCAGCTATACGATATAGTCGTCCGATTTTTAAAATATTTTATTCGAAATTCTGAAATATTTAAAAAATAATATTTCCAAGAGTAGAAGGTTTTATTTCAAAAAACACCGAAGCTAGAATTTTTTTAACGCTTCGTTCCTATGGGAGCTATAAGATATAGTTATCCGATCCGGTTGGTTCCGACTTATATACTACCTGCAATAGAAAGAAGACTTTTGGGAAAGTTTCATCGCGATAGCTTCAAAACTGAGAGACTAGTTTGCGTAGAAACGGACGGACAGACGGACAGACGGACGGACAGACGGACATGGCTAGATCGACTCGTCTAGTGATGCTGATCAAGAATATATATACTTTATGGGGTCGGAAACGTCTCCTTCACTGCGTTGCAAACTTCTGACTGAAATCATAATACCCTCTGCAAGGGTATAACAAGTCATATTTAAAATTACTATTAAAATTTGTTAATATATTTGTTTTGGCTGTTATTTTAGAAAAATTCTCCAATTACTTAACTTTATCCCCTAAACAAGAACATCTACTTACTTTCGATCAATTTCCGTGGTCGTCTCCGGTGGAATGGTGTCATTCGGGGCGATTACCTGTTCGTAGGTCTTCACCGCCTTCTGCCGCTTGCGTTCCGCGTTGATGCGCATGAACCGGGACTTACTGAGATACTTCCAGAAGAGCTTCTCGAAAATGGTGATCCGCTGGTCGATGGCCATGCTCAGTTCGATGACCTCGTTGGAGTTGAGTTTGTTCTTGGCCACCAGCCGACTGATCAGCTCCTTGCGCTCGGCCTCCTTTCGCTGCTCCTCGGTGGGTGGCGGTGGGCCCGCGGGACCGTCTCCCGATGCCCCGCCTTCTCCAGGACCAAATTGGGCACAGGGTTCAGGACCAGCCGTGGGATCGATTCTATCTCCGGGCTCCGAGTCCTCAGCGCTATCCAGCGAGGGCTTTACGGTGCTGCGAATGTTCAGGTGCAGATAGACGTGCTCCAAGTAGCTGTCCTCCTTCCACTTGGGGTCATCGATGGACTCGATCTCCTCCAGTTCCTGCTTGGCGATGAGGGTGGCGCGGTCGAGGATGCGGTGCACCTCCATCACGATGGGAATGCGCCGGAAGTGCACCAGTCGCTCGAACACCGTCACCTTGATCTCGCACAGCTTCGAGTGGTGGCCTTTCAGCCGGAAAATGGGTGGATTAAACACAACGGAGAAGAAGTCGTTTATAATGTAGCTGAGAGGGAAAAAGAAGTTATAGATATTTATCAAAGTCAGGGGAGTTAAAAACTCAAAACCAATTTAAACGAAATCACACAAAGAAGAATTGACGTGTGCCCAATGCAAGATAGGCGTGTGACCGCAGGCATGCTTTATGAGTTTATGTTAAGTTAAGTCTAAGTTCATGAGTACCTCTGCCAGCGAAACTCCTTGCACTTTTGTCCGTAGTTGTGGACATTGACCAGCTGTGTCCGATCTTCTCGCAGGCAGACCTCGAAACTCAACCTATTGGGATAGATTACATTGAGAAAGTCAACGCATTCGCGCTCCTTTAAAGGCATATCCGTCTCCTCCTTTTCGTCTGTCAGGACTCCCCGAGCCTTGACCTTGTAGCGAGCCTTGACATTGTCAAAGGACATAACAATTTCTGCCTGCGAGAAATATTAAACATTATTAAAAAATAATATTTATTATAGATTAACCAAGGGTGTACCTCATTTTCGTAGTCCAGGGGTCGATAGTCCACCAGTAGGGGCCACACACTCTGCCGAGGAACGGTGAGATTCATATTGAGCAGCTTTAGGCCCCGATCCCTGGAGGCGAACGAGAAGGACAAGTGGGACATGGTGATATTCTGCACCCACAACGGCTGTGTCACGTGGTAATAGTTTTTTATGTTCACTGGCAGCAGCTCCTTGGTGAGCAGACACTTTTCGGGGTCGAAGGAGGAGATCTCCAGGTGAAAGTGCCAGAGAAACTTGCGCTTGTCCTCGGTCCTGAAAAGTTGACATTTTTTTATCCAATAAAATTTTTGTAATACTAAGTTCTACTTACTGAACTTCGTAGGTGAGCAAGTGTTCGCCGTAGAGGAAAAAGAAGGCCGTGACTGTGAGGGCCACCACCTCATCCGGTTTGATGGCAAGGATCTCCTGGTTGATGTGGACCAGTCGGCGGTGAGGGCAGTGGAATAGCTGGCGGAACTGGTTGAAACCGACTTGGGTCTTCACCGGCTGGCATTGGCAGTTCTGGAGCCGCTTCAGGGTCAGCGTGGCGTTCTTCGAGGAGAGGTTGCGCAGCCAGAAGACCATCTTCAGGGGGTGGCTGTGTATCTGGCGAATGGGCACCGAGAAGGTGTGCTCGTGTTCCAGGCGATTCGAGCGCAGCTTTCTATTCAGGCTGTATAAGGAGGAATAAAAGAGCAGTCAGGATTTATCTAGATCTCATCTTTTTATCCACTTCACCCCGTGATATCGAAGCTCTCCCAGTAGTAGATCTTCAGGATGGGCGGTCGTATGATGGTCAGGTTATCCACCATCAGCTTCTGGTAAACGGGAGGGGGTTGGATCCCGCCACATGGCTTCTTCTGGGAAACCTCAATGTTAACCAGAGGATCCTCTTCCATTTTTAACTAGAAAATATGTAGTATTGCAGCCGGAAAGTTACGAACACACAAAAAATGTTACTTTTTACTACAGGAAGTGTTGACCTGTCATAAAAATAAGTTAGACGTAAATTCTAAAAATACAAATGGACTGTATATCAAAAGCTGCGATGCAACCTACTTAGGTTTCTAAAAAACTATTGTGGTGTCTTTTCATACCATAAGAAAAAGTTCTCTTCTTTTTTATCCTTCTTTATCAGAACTCTTATTCAGACCTCCTGCCGTTTGATCAAGGAATAAAAACCATAGGCAAAACGAGAAGGTGAGAAGGATACCGTGTACAACGGTGCGTATGTGTGTTCATCGATAATCCTGTGTGCAATTCCTTTTTGTTTGCGAATTGACAAAGTGCCAAAGGCCAAGTGGGCGGTCGGCAGAAAAAAAGAGCAAGAAAAAGACATTAGTGGCTCAGTGGAAAACAAACCTCCTGCCGAGAATCAAAGTCCACACACACGCACACGCACACTTCTTTCCTTTCGGATGTCTCCTAGTGTGTGTCTGCTCCTTTCGTGTCCTTGCACCTGTGTGCGTACATGTGTGACTGCCTGCAGTTGAGCTTCATCGAGAAAACATCGTTTACAGTTAGTGCGCCGACAGTGGCGAAGGTGAAAGACCAACAGCAATTATAGTACAGTGGAGCTTTGCTAACTGAGTCATGAACAAATTAACTGGAACAATTTATATATTATCATAAGTCCAAGAAAACAGCTATAGCTTTTAATAATTATAATGTATAGGTTATGAGTCATTCATAGTTACATCTTAACCAGAGTATAAATCCATAATTAAATAAACAAGTAAAAAACTTTGATGAAGATATATTTTGGAAAAAGTGTATATTAACCGTAATGGTTTCAAGGTTTATTTTCCGCAATTTATAATTTTTTGAAAATTTATAGATTTATTTAATAAATATTCTTAAATTTCGACGCAAGAACCCATAAATTACCTTAGATTTCCGAATTCCCGTATTCTTTGAGGTTTTTATTGTTTTGTATCATTAATTAAAGATAAATCGAACTAAATTATTGGTTGCCACTCTTAACCAGTTTGCATTGTTTATTATATTCTCTTTTTCTTACCCAATTCAATTGCAGTTGATCGTCACTCGCACTTAATGTCCACTGTCCTGACAGCAGCTACAACCTGTGTGCATCAATCACAACCTTTGACAGCGTCGCTGCCACGCTTATCATTCATGTCCGCCCACCCAACCCCACTTGTCACCCATCTCAATCTCCAGCCACTCCGCCACCCATCATCAGCAATCTGGCATAACAATGGTCTATGACCAGAATACAGGAATACAGGAATCCCAGAGTACAAGGCAGCTGCAATTGTCGGCGACTTTTCATCTTGTTGCCCGTCGACGAGTCCTTTTTTGTGGAGAGAAAACCCGAGTGTTTCACTCGTTCCGCCGTTGCATTTCACTCATGATGTTGCTTTTCCACACATTCCAGCTCAATTACTCGACGGAGACCAACTTTATGTTTTAAGCAAATATTTTGTAACCCTTTTTTGTGTTGATGTTGCATGAACTGTTGACCAGCGACAACTTGTTGGCCAATTGTTGTGGTTAGACTTTGCGATGCCTGAGGTTTCGGGTTGGGGGAGTACCGAGTACTGAGCCCCTTGATGGCCCAGTCAACTCCTTCAAAGTGTCGCTGGCTGTGCATAATTATGGCTTAATTTGCAGCTTGAAGCAGGGCCAACTAATTACTGCTTTTGCTACACTTTTTTTGGCCAAGAGCACATGGCAATTAAAAACTTTTTATGCAAGACATTTTTTACACAACCCTCCGCCAGGTGAAACTTTATCCCCAGTCCCGGAAATTTCAGCAGTTATTGTTGTTCCTTCCACCGAACCTCCACCTCCCCCTCCATCTGTCGCGCTTCATAATTGAAAATCACTTAGAGCGTGAAGTGGGGAAAAACATTTTCTCAGAGGTAGCAGAGGTATGAAAAGGGTTTGAGTAAGCTGCGATAAACTGCTTAAGCGCGATTAAGTGACATTTGAAAGAGCTAAACATCTCGCTTAAGGCTACTAAATTATTGAGCTTAAAGTGCTGAAATGGTTAAGCGACTTGCAATTAGGTGGATAAATAATAAATAATTTAAGAAATGAAATAATTATAGGTATAATGCATTTCTGTAAGACTCATGGAACTTTTAATTTTGTAGCTTTAAGAAATATCAAATTAAATATGCTCTTCCAGTCGGCAACTTAAATGTATTTGTTTTCCTTTGTATTTAATTGCTCATAGAATTTTCCTGTGCAATCGCATGTGTTGGACTGAATCCAAGTGGCTTTCCCAGCAACAAAAGGTTAGATAGCCGTTCTCGGGAGGCGCTTTCATCCGAGGGGGCGTGGCAGTCACTGACACTCAACATCCGCTCCTGCCATTTCCATGCGAATGCCAGCCCAAAAGGAGGAGAAAGCACCAGAAGAGCAAGAATTGCCAAGCCACAAAACAAAGCAATACAATGTGAGAAGAGTGAAGGGGCTGGGGTATTTTTCGAGGCAGGGCGGGGAGCGGGGTTCCTGTTGCTGTGGCTGCTGCAAACAATTATTGTTATTCCAATTGAAATGCAGCGTTCACCGAGTTCCTCAACCCCCTGCAATCTTGAATTTCCTCCCCCCCAAACCGCCCCGCAATCCTGTGGCCTTTGTAGAATTGCTATCAAAATTATACACCTTGCAGCAATGAACGACTGGTGATGGGGAGGGGTACGAGGGGTTCTCTCGAGTTCATTGTAATGCAAATTACGTATACGCCATGGTGCAACTGCAAACTGGACGAACCCCCCGGCACAGCCACCCCCTTCCCCGATATTTTTGTTTACGTCCATGTGAGCGTGTATATTTTTGACCCTTTTCCATTGTCAGAGCTGCAAAAGTAATAATAGTGAAAATATGAGACGCTTTTGGGCTGGAGATGCCGGTTCAAGAAGCGTTAGGAAAATGCAATTAAGGCAGTAACCAGTGTGGAAGATAATTTCAGTCCACTGTGCGATTTTACGACCTTTAACCAAACCTGTTTGCAGCGAAGTCGGTTCAGCTTATTGGCCTAACGCCCCAAATTGGCCCACTTAATCATCAAAATAAGTTTATTCCCAAAACTTTGCCCAGTGTCCAGGGAAGCAGAGGAAATGCAACATTTTGCAGCAGGAAATGCAGCCGAGTAACTTTTCCTGGGCGGCCGAGAGAGAGAGAGCCAGTGTCAATTCAAGGGCCCGGAAGTTGTCCCATTTAAATGGGAAAACTTCAACACACAAAATGGATGCACAAATACCAAATACCAGAAATGTCCCCGAAGGACTGGGCCACCAAATTGTGTGTGTTAACGACTGATAACAGCAAATGGACACAGCTTAGAGCCGGAGCACTGCGCCTTTCCAGCCTTGGACCGCAAACCGGAAACGGAAACCGCATCCGCCACGCCATCGCTGTCATCATCATCACCAGCATCATTGTCGCCATCGACGTGGGAGAGCCTCTTCCTCTGACAGCGGCTCGGAGTCCTTTTCCTATATGCAGATCCCGGACGCACTGGGGAATACCTGCATCTGTACCCTTGACAGCTGGGCCTGCCAGCTTTTCCGCTTTTCCAACTCTTTTCACATGCACCGCAAGCAGCTTTGTCGGTTCCCCCTGTCGATTGCCCACAAAGCCTGCGAAAGGGATATTCAGTGTTTTTCAACTTGTGGCATTGAAAAAATATTTATGTATGAACAATTAATTGCAGCTGCACATATGTTTAAGAACCATTAAAAATTTATTCTTAGTTGTAAAGTAATATTTGTTAACTTTCTTTAATTTTGTAGAGCCAAAGTTTCTTAAATTGGATTCGACAACTGTTGAAAATCCAAAAAATAGTTTAATATCACCCAAAAAGGAACAACTTTCTGCCTGCTGAATAAATAATTGCACACCTTGTTGTAACTTATCCCAATGTATGTGGCTGAAACTGATGCATTGCTTCTGGTAAGAGCATATCCTTCCCGACGTGTTTGAACCACATTTCCAGAAGAAACTTTTTACTTTGGGCATTTTACATTTGGCTCGATTGGTTCAAAACGAATTGGTTAATACCTTAAAAATGGTAATAAGGCCAGTAAATATTTTAAACGAGAGTCTGGGAAAAGATTATTTATAAAGTAAGTTACTAAATAGAAATAAATATAGAAATAGATTTTGTTTCAAATATATGAGAGTATTTAAGGCTCCCGTTGCCTATTTTTATTTATCTTTGGCTAGTTGGTTGCGTGGTTGGTACTCAACTGAAATGCAACTGGCGAAAACCGACAAAAAATATTCGCTCTGAATATTTAATTGTGCGCGTTCCATGCATTTATCTCGCTTGCCACACACACTCGCACACTAACACACGTCCACAAACACACACACGTGGGGGGCGGTGGGCGTGGCTTTTGAGCTGGTTTGTTGCGGTTGCATATTTGTGGCTCTTTGGGGTCTTTTCGATTTTCGAAATGCGCTTTTAGTTTGCCAGTTTGTTGTTTGCATTTCTTTGGGCTCCTAGAACTTGTTGTCCTGCTGTTCTTTTTCTATTTCTTTTCCGTTGTTTGTCTTTTTACACCCAAAAACCTGGCAACTGTATAAATACAAATTTCTCAGTTATTTTCCCATTTTTTGGCAGTTTTTTACTCTGTTTGAGTTTGAGGGCGGCGGCATACTTTTGGGGCTCTTTGGCTTAACTTATTTTGCGGGATGGGCTTACCATATTGATATGCAAATTCTCTGGGTTCCGATGTTGTCATTGTGGTTTTTGCATTCGTCGTCGAGTCTTTCTATGTTCTATGATGATTGAACCGTTTTTTTCGATTTTACTTACCGTAAAAGAAATTTCCATTCGGCCTTAAACCAAGATAAATGGAAATATATTTCTTAGTCTACACAATAAATCAGCTTATTGTGTCCTAACAATGTTTCTCAAATATTAATCTTAACATTATTATTGCACACCAATATTGGTCGAGTTTTGCTTTAACTTACGTATCTTTT